GACGATGAAGACTTGGAGATGACAATGGAAGAATTTTGCAACCAGTCAAGGACAGATTTTCTAGAGTTGTATGTCGACATCGTCGCAACGGAGAATGCTCCCATACCGGTGAGGTCAGTTTATTTAAATTCTCCCCGTCTTCCAGCTTCTCCTGCCGCTCATGCGTCTCCAGTTGGTAACTTTTCTGAGGGAGATGAAAATGATCCGACTTGGGAAATGCACGACGAAGATGACGATGACGACGATGAAAATATGGCAATGGAAGAACATCTTCTGGCGAAGGATGGTAGTGCTTCAGAAGGAGATGAATCTCGTGAGATGGGTGCGTCTGAAATCCCAATATTCCATCAAACAGTCGTCGCGCAAATGCCGCAGTTGAATGACGTTGCGTCTGCTCCGTTTGGTATTCCACAAGAAGGTAATTGTTCCCATTTGTATACTGCGTGAATAAATAACTGATTTAATACCTGAATTAGTAAGTTCGTATTAAAAAATTATACTCCGCAATTGCAGGTGACACAGATGTTATTCCTTTTTGGGAAGGAATTCCACATTATTCTTACATTGATTGGAGTTATCAGAGTGAACAAGAATCATGTACTGATGGTTCGGTGTCTGGATCGGCTTCAATACAAGATCTGTGGCAACTGGGTGACATGTTATTTGTCAATCAAGAATTTGCGACACAAAAAGATGTCCAAATGGCACTTAAGCACAACCTTATTAGGGAGCATCAAGAAGCCATTGTAATTGAGAGCACGCCTGCAAAGTTGTCCATGAAATGTTGTGCGTACGATCAAGGTTGTCCGTGGCGCGTAAGGGCGATCAAACCGGTGTTTCGTAAAAATTGGAAAATAACGAGATGGGGTGGAAAACACATATGTGTGAATGAGCACATTTCCCAGGGTCATAGACAGCTCGATGCGGACGTTATTGCAGATCTCGTGATATGTACCTTTTTGTATTTTGGATGTGTGAATGAACACGAATGTGTAATTAAATTCGTTTGATGTTATCGAGGCACTGATATCCTCTTCAATGCAGGGATGATAAAGTCTGAACCATCTGTGTCAATCTCTTTGGTGCAAGAAAGGATAACTGCTAAATAGATAATAGGTGTGGCAGCAAGCCACAGATACTGCTGCTCTGGAGTCACGTCAAGCCACTCATATTCTATATATGGCTGCCACACCACCTACAAACAAAATGTGAAACAATATATAGAGTTACAAAAAAAATTAAACCTATAGACGAATAACAACATCGTAAGTATCCAACACCAAACCTCATCTCTACAGAGTGTGTCCAATGTTGCCCGATAATGGGTGACCTCATGAGGTTTAAACTTTTGTACAACATTAAACCTGTCAATCAGAAACATTATCAACCATACATAATCGTCCAAAGTCAAGAAGTATACAGTTAGTATATACATTATTAACCATACATTATCGAAATCAAATGAAGTAAATAAATCATACCGGCATCCATAATGTGTGCCCGACTCTGGATGAGGAGGAAGAGGTGGAGCAATGGGTGGGAATCGTATCTATGCCCAAATTTGAAGGAGAATATGGCAACCACCCATGTCGCTTCGACGGGCATCTGTCACTTCACACAAATTCCTGAACAAGTGTGTCAAAACTGCAGATCCCCAGCTGAATCGGCCAATGTCCTCAAATCCTCCACCTAGCAACGGGACAAGCCGGCAACCAAAATTGCTACCTCCAGACTTGTCCGCCAGCAACCAAGTCCCCAACATCCGGGCAATGTGGGCTTTTGTGAAGTAGATCTCGGCAGCATGATTCCCCTCATGATCAGTCCACCGAGTATAATGCCGATCCAAGAATGAGATGCGGAGGTCGCCGGAATGATGGAACTCACCGGCCTCTGGAACATGTCCAAAAACAGCAGCACAAGTAGCGTGCCAATCCTCAGAGGTCGATCCGATGACGATAGCCCAAGATGCCTGCCACATCTTGTAAGGTGATCGTCATCTCACCTTGGGTCATGTGAAAGGTATGTGTCTCTGGTCTCCACCTCTCGACCAGAGCACTAATTAAAAATGTATCTATCTGTGATAAATTACGCAGTTATCACGTGTTAACGAATTTTATTAAATAATTACATAAATACAAAACGACATAAATAACATACCTGGATATGTTGCATCCTGGCAACATGTATGAAACCCGCCTGTCTGAGGTACTCTTCCACAACCTGTGGAATAGCACCGGTAGGTGGGCCCCTTGTGGCTTCCTACGCCTAGTCTTAATCTTTCTTACATGCTCAGTATTCCACACTCGCTGTGAAATATGACCTTTTTACGTCCTCTTACGAAGGACCTCCCACCTGTACGACCCAGGTATGATCCACATGCTGGGATCGATGGGCTCTACATCCGAATCAGATCCCGAAGAAGATGATGACTCAGCCATTATCCTCAACTAACTACAAAGTTATGCACTCCCGCATTAATAACATCATACATACAAAATTTACAAAGTCTCTAACACTATTTGTAAATCACTAATTAATATGCTAAACCCTAATACATAATAAAAAATCGGTAATAATAATAACTACGTAATAATAATATTACTATATCATTACAACATTCATAGCATGACACAAAATTTCTAAGTGACTATCCTAATGTTCCAAGTCTCTAATATACAATCAATCCTAACATGTGTTACTAACTAGCATTGTAATTTAAATGTATACATATGAGGTATTATGACCTTACCTACGTTGGCAGAGCTTCGCTACGAACCGCGGTTAGAGAGAGGTTGGAGAGAGGTTAGAGAGGTAAATGGGTAAGGAGTGAAAAAAGGAAAGTGGGGTATATATAGGTTGCACATGAGACGCCCTCTTTGGGCGTCACATGTGACGCCCCAATGGGGCATCTTCTCCAAGGGAGAGACGCCTCACTGGGGTGTCACATGTGACGCCCAAAGAGGGCGTCTCATTGTGCAACAGATGTGTAATTTTTAACAAAACAATATTAAATGCATAATTATTTTAATTAATTACATTATTTTAATTTTTTTGCTAGTGAACATTTCAAGAACCTGTCAAAGAAAGAAAGGTAAAAAAAGAAAAAGAAAAAGAAAATCAAAGAAGAAACAGAGTACATACCCGACAACTTCAAGTCTTAAATATAAAGAATTGTTTCAAAGAGATATTTTTATGATATTTAAAAGTTCCTTTTCATTTGTCCTATTATTAATATTGTTTTAGGAACCAAACTCATGCTTGATGAGTGTTTCAAATTTACACTTCTGCTAAGGTGAAAGTTTGATTTGCTTGGTATTCCCTTGTTATTTTTTTATTTTTTTTTTTAATTTCACTACCAATTTGTGAGGTGTTTTGAGGCAGGTTCTTGATGGCATGGGATTTTGTCAATCTAAAATGTATTTGGGTGACATCAAACTTAATGTTTGCCAATAGTCGTTTTTTTTTTCCCCCTTCTATTTTCGGCGGAAAAGCTGTTAAGAACATGGAGAAAAAAGAACCAATAGGCTGATTGGACTAGGCTGGGGTAGAAAATCCACTCAATAGCCTGCTAAAAAACTCTTAGGCCCATTGGGTTAAAACTGATGGATGGGTTTTAGGAGGTCTCACTTTTCTGAAAAATGCAAGGTAAATTCACATTCACAGACTAAATTATTCTTGTAATTTTGTCATTTTATGCTGACCCTAATAAATAAATAAATCAGGCTGCTTTATTGTTTTAGCCTTTTTTCTCTTATTTACTCCACTAGATTGATATGGGCTCTAGGTCAGCATTCCAACAATTGATAGAAATGTTAGCTTTATTAATGATTCTTTCTCAGGGAACGGAAGTAAGGTCTCCTCAAACCCATTTAATATTAACCCAATGGGCCCAAGAGTATTTTTTCAGGCTATTTCCCTTTTCATGTATACTAAATGGTCGGGGTGGCAATTTTGGTTGACCCGTCCCGCCCCGTCACCAACCCGCCAAAAACGAGATGGGGCAGGTTGACCCGCCAAAAAATATGGGTTGAAAAATGAATTTATCCCTTTTTATGGTGGGTTGGCGGGTCGACCCACCAACCCGCCAATTAAAGAAAAATTAATTAAAATTCAAAAATAAATTATATTTTATGAATATTTCTAATATTATTTTATTTTATTTCACATTTCTCTATATTTTTTTAGTCTCAATCTTAAATGCATACTAATATTTGTCAAACATTCTTTAGGAACTTATATATAGATAACATCTCTCATAAATAAAAGTGTTATTCTTTATTTTTTCTAGAAAGTACTAAGATAAAAAAAAAATTGGATATCACAAAAATTTTAAGAACTAATGAAATACTACCTAATTGTAAAAAAAAAAAAAAATTATAACCCGGCGGGTCAACCCGCCCTGCAACGAGGTGAATCCGTTTTGACCCACTTTTAAACGGGACGTGTTGATGTAGGTTGAAAATCTCAACTCAACCCGTCCCATTTTAGCGTTTAGCGGGTTAACCCGCCGGACTCAACCCATATTGCCACCCCTAGTCAATTGCTTTGTAAAACTTAAAAAGTAGTTTTTGACTTGAAGAAAAATATTTTTACTATTTATGGAAAGTGAAAACATAAGACGAGAAAACTAAGTGAAACACTCACAGCCATAGAAAATAAATGGACAAGAATATTTTAGTTCTATTTTAATTGAAACTCTCTAATTCTAATAAATTATGCTGTTAGTGCTTTAAAAAAAATCAAAAGGAAGGAAATCTCCAAATCCCTAATGTTTATAAATTGGAACCATAGCATGATTAAATTACAAATCCACAAGCTACATCTTGTGACAAAACATGAAACAATATCATCAATAACTCAAAAGATCCAGTAAAACCAACAAAAATCTTATCTTCATGCTTTCTTTCATGGATACAATATCAATAACATGTGTACAAAAGAAAAAATAAAAATAAAATCAAAGTAACATGAAAATTTTCTAACACTACCTAACCTTTCTGTTTCTCGCGAGGTAATCATTTTTATGGCGCAAGAACCCCAAACCAAACTCGACAACATCGAAATCCACAAGGTTCCAAATTTTCACTCAAGAACAAAAAGCCATCTCCAAGTTCCAATTTTTCTTACACCCTTTTGGATTCAGAGCCCAATGCCCTAGTTCTTGTTCCCTCAAACTCAAAAGCCATCCATGGCCACAGACGCGACAGCGAAATTCCAAAACCCCGATTTTCGCTCCGCTCCGCCCCCACCGGAGCCAGATTTCCACCCGGACCTGCCGGCGGCGACCCATGACGGCCTCCATTTCTGGCAGTTCATGGTCGCCGGATCCATCGCCGGCATGGTGGAGCACACGGCAATGTTCCCGGTGGACACGGTGAAGACCCACATGCAAGCTCTGGGTTCATGCCCCATAAAAAAAACCGTGACCGTTCGACAAGCCGTTCAATCGATTCTGAGATCCAACGGTCCCTCTGCATTGTACCGTGGCATTGGAGCAATGGGTCTTGGTGCTGGACCAGCACATGCCGTGTATTTTTCATTCTACGAGACTGGCAAGAAGCTATTCTCTGGTGGCAAACCCAACAACGCTGCTGCACACGCAGCTTCTGGGGTTTGTGCTACTGTTGCAAGTGATGCAGTGTTTACCCCTATGGATATGGTGAAGCAGAGGTTGCAATTGAGTAACAGCGGTTACAAGGGTGTTTGGGATTGTGTGCAAAGGGTTTTGAGCGAAGAGGGGCTAAGAGCGTTTTTTGCTTCTTATAGGACCACGGTTTTGATGAATGCACCTTTTACTGCGGTGCATTTTGCAACCTATGAGGCTGCCAAACGAGGCCTTATGGAGATTTCGCCAGAGAGTGCTGTAGATGAACGCTTGGCTGTTCATGCCACTGCTGGTGCTGCTGCTGGTGCTTTGGCTGCTGCACTTACAACCCCACTTGATGTGGTTAAAACTAAATTGCAGTGTCAGGTATGGTTTTTTGTTTCATTATATGTCAATTTTTGGGTTTTGCCTACATGGGATTCTTATAGTTTTATCTAGACTGTTGTTTGGTAAAAATAGTTTAGTTAGCTTTGTAGAGTGTCTCATATGAACATTGTGCTCTCTCTAGAACTTGTGCTAGTGTGGAAAAAGGAGTGGATGACATTATAAACCTGAGAATGTGGTTACACACATCGTATATGATTTATTTCACCAGATACTCGCATACTCGAGAATGGACCTTATCTTTGATGTGGGACTTATATTTGATATTTCATGAATTCAAGAATCCTTCGTTCTGATACATTGGCTACTCATTTAGCAGAGAGAGAGAGAGAGAGAGAGAGAGGCAGACGATGGGAGAGTGGATATAAGTACTCACTATATGATAAATAGTGTTTATCATATTATTTCTAGTTATTACTGTTATTTGTTTTTCAAAAGAGTGGATATGAAGTTGATACACAATTTTATTTTTCCTGGTTACAAAAAGGAGGAGCTAGATTGGGTATTTGGGTGTGTGGAGGGGAATGTTAGGCTAAAGTGCAGGCAAAGTGTCATGGAAGGGATTTTATCATGCAGTCTAGTAGTCTCCTGAGAGACTTGGCACTAGTGGTGCTTGCTATGGTTCTTGGGACAAGTATTTCTAGCTGATATTTTATATGTTCTGTTAATTCCACCTACATAACTGTGGAAACATCATTTTAGCTCGTCTCATCATTAAGTTCCATGGGCAAGTTTTGTGCTTCTATGAATTGTCCAGATGAAGGTATTCTACACTTTGGCTATAGTATGCCCCCATTCCATTTCTAATGAGTGCTGAAATGTGAAGAAGAAACTGAGGGTTGATAACAAGTGTGCATTACAAATTTGTGGGCTTCAGATTCCTACATAATAGAATTCGAAAAGGAGTTATCCCCTACCCACCCCTCCACCCCCCTTCCAATAAAAACTCTCATTGTTGGTTAACAATGAAGCTGGGGGTCACCGGCCTGCAAGTTCTTGGCAAAGGGAAAGATTTATTATAGCATGGAAATCTTTTTAAGTAACATATGGGATACTTCTGGCATATGCCTGTCTGATTCATAAGCTTGTTTTCCCTTTCTAGAATATAACATACCCTCGTTAACAGATATCATTGAGAAAGAAATGGTTCTTTATGATGGGATATATTTAGGTTTTGGTATTATGCTTGTAAAATTTAATTGAAAGATGATATAATGAAACTAAGGCTTTACAAATGATACCAAGCAATAAAATAAATAAGAAGAGAGTCCTATTCTGAGATGCAGTGTGGTCATACTTGAGAATTGAGTTAAAAAATAGAGAAATAAAATCTAAAATATAACCCTGTCATGTTATCTATGAATTGGTGATTTTGTGAATTCCTTTGCGTCCCCTCTAATTTCCATTGCATCTTCCTCTGGTTTGAGCCGTCCATTGTTTTTCGTCGCATCCCCTGTCTGGTTTGAGCTTCACCATTTTTCATCATTTACCATTGTTTTCTAATGGCATTTTGAGCTTTACCATTTTTCTCGTCCAGTCCTACCTCTGTTCTCTCTCTCTCTCTCTCTCTCTCTCTCTCTCTGTTTTGTACTTTGCACTTGACAGCCCTTGGCCTCATCCCTTTGTCATTGCTCTTCACAGCCATGGCATCATATTCTCAGCCACAACCAAGTGTACGAACTCCACCACATAGCACCTCAGCTTTAAGCTCTTCTTGTGCACTGGTAAAACCTACTGGTGAAAAGTATTATTGTGGTATGCCTTTGGAATATTGAAATATAGTTTTTGTGGTTGATCGCTCTATGCTGTTATCTGAGATTGACAATTATGACACGTTATTTGTTTTTCATTACTAGGATGAGATACAGGCATAGCATTGTATGTATATACAGTATACACACACCAATTATACTTGCGTATTTATCTTTTCAACTTTTGCACAACCAATGCAGTGTTGGGTCAAGTTAATCATACATCTGCATATTGAATCATTGATTGTGCATCAACTATCATCATATGAATGTTTGGTACCTGTGTTTCCCCTGAGGATCTAACAATATTGTATTAAGTCCCTGTCTTTCCTTGGAGGGTTTATCTTGACATTGGTTAATGGCACAGGGCGTCTGTGGATTGGATAAGTTTAAAAGTGATTCAATTGGGGATGTCTTTAAAACAATAGTGAAAAAGGATGGATACAGAGGGCTCATGCGAGGATGGAGTCCAAGGATGCTCTTCCATGCCCCTGCAGCCGCAATCTGCTGGTCCACATATGAAGCTGGGAAGGCCTTTTTCCACGACAATCAAAGTAAAAACAATGGCACGATACTCTAAATAAATGCCAAGTTAGAATATTCATTTCTCTAGATGCATTACAGTTGAATCTGTTGCCCTAGCAAATTAGCAAGAGCTTTGAACCTTGGCACAACGGTTAATGTTGTCGCGGTGTGACTTGGAGATTACAGGTTCGATGCTTGTAATCAGTCTCTTGTAATTGCAAAGTAAAAGCTGTTTATTACAGATCCACACAACAAGTCCGACCTTTCCGTGGAGACTGCGCATAGCGGGAGCTTTATAGCACCATGCTATTTTTTTTGTTCTCTTTAGCTTTTTATTATTTACATTTAAACAGTAGATTATTTCATGAACACAGCTTTATAGCCACATTGTTCTTTTATAAAAAATTGCTAAACTTAATGTTAATGCAAAAGATTATTTCATATTCTGGAATTTAAGGGATTTCATTTTCTGCCAACTAACTATAATTTTGCATTTATCTCTGGTCCTTCAGTTGCTCAGTTATTGAATGTCAGTTAGGACTGTTGTTGTTAGCTGTGATGCCCAAAAGCTGGTTGCTGAGTTGTATATTGTTTTGAATTTGTCATATAGACAGCGTAATGGCACAATGATGTCACTAAGAGAAATTGACACTTGTTACTGTTACTTTTATTTAATGCCTGTTTGTTTTCGTTAGGAATCACAAAATCAAATTGAACGCAACATGATTGATTAGTAGCTCAAACTATGTTTATTCGCCGGTTAGTGTGATATTCAAGTCCTGTAGTACTGGCTTTGGATTTGACATTAGATTTTTTGATTCCAGATTCTTAAATAGTGGTGTGTCTAAGCTTCCTTGTGGATGAATAAAAAAGCGCTTCTTTTTTAACTAAAACAGATTAAGGAAATTATGTTACAACTAAGCTATGCGCGTGTCATAAGATATTACTTTTGAGATATGCTGCTGACAAAATTCTGATCGATACTGTTATTTAATCTTGTTAACTAATGACCATTTTTCATGTCTTTGAATTTCCAAAACGAAAGGAAAGGAACTAGGCCATTAAGTTTATATTTTATAATGAACTAAGTTTTGAATCACTCATCGACTTATTTGACTCTCCAATTTTTGCCTTGTATCGCACCATGTGAAAAGCATATTGTATCTGACAGGCATTTAGCTCATGTTTGGAGTATAAGCTCCTCAACTTCAAGCAATGGTAGAGCGAGGAAGAGAGGGAATAGAGAGGAATAATCCCCTCAAGTTTAAATAATCCTTTAGTTGTGAGCGTCATTTGTGTTGTTTTTTATCATATAAATAATAACCCCCTCTTCAAATTCTTAGAAATCTTTATTTGTGAACATCATTTCTGATCTTTGGGTTATATAGATAGTTTTAACTTAATACTACAGTTGCAATTTTGCCCCCCTTCATCAAATTTTATAGTTCCCCCATTCTGAAGTGGTTTCTGGTAATGCATTATCTCAACAAGTTTTTGCTTGCTGCTACTGATTCTGTTCTTGTACTCATAATCATACTTCTCCACCTTATCAAAGACAATTCTTAGGTAGTAACATGTCATACACGAAAAACAATTTTTCTATGAATATCTTACATAGCTTCTTTCTCATTGCATAAAGCACAACAGATTTGATGACAAAGCAGGAATGCTTCCATGAATAAATCCTTATTTCTCAGAGCATCACCAAAATTTAGTGGCCACAGAATACTTAAGGCAACTCCCGCTCTAGTGATCTCAGCAATTAGGACCTTGTTTTCTTTAAGTATAATCAACATTGAGATTAACAAATCTTATGAACTTACAACCTGACCAACAATTACAGTAATATCGTCAAGCTTTCCACCTGTTACAATAGAAAAACTGAGGTCAGCCACATGTAGGGAGAAAAAAAACAAAGTGTTATTTTGGAATATGTTATGCCACACCTGTAAGCTTCATTCCAAGAATCTTCTTCCATAAGGGGGCTTCAAAACCCTGGAAAATTATTAAGGAAAAAAAGGTGGTTATTGCAAACTTTTGGCCTTTTTAATGTCCATCTGTTTCATGCAAAATAACTTTCTAAAAAGTGTTTTCTTCATTTTTGGTGTTTCTTGCAAACAATATGTTTTTTTTTTTTTTGTTTGTTTGGGATAAATCATAGATATCTTCCAAGGGAGGTAATTCTGTTCGGGGTGGGTCTAGGATTAACTCCCAAAGATGATACTCGGGAGGATCGAACACATGTTCTCATCCCCACCTGCTCAGCTCCCATGCGTCAACTGAGCTACCATCATTTTGTTGTAAACAATATCTTTTTAACTGTCAACATAATGTTTTCCTGGTCAATGGTTGCAACTCTTTTCAAGAACGAGAATGTGACTTCCCTAATCAGAAGTTATTTTACAAAACAAATCAAACATAGAAAATTATAAACGACACTTCATTTTCTATAATCAAATTATATTTTGTAAAGCAAATGAAGTCTAGCTATAAACTTCTCTCCGTACCTTAGACCTGGCCTCCAACGAATAGGGAGAATCAAAATTTGAATCCATTGCATGACTGCTTGCCAAGTTAGCCAGTGCCTTTGCTAGCAACAAAATGAATTTTGACTAAGTCAATGGTAAACCTAAATTCCTCACTCTCATCAATCAAGAAGGAAGACAATACCAGTCTCAGCAACATCTTTGTGTCTAATAACGGTTGAAACAATTTCATGGTCAAAAACATTATCAAAAAGTCCATCGGATCCCATAACAATTGTGTCTCCTTCTATCAACTCCACATTGCTTACCTGTTTTCCTGCAGTGGTTAGTAAAAGAATATATAACAGAAGAACCACATTTATCTCAGGTGGAGAATGAGACTATCCCATTTGGAAAGTTCTGTACTTAGTTCTGTCACAATAAGGGAATACATATCTTGGCCCAAACCACTACTTTTAAAATGACACTTATATTGATTAAATATACAATTTCCCTCCTCAAAGATGTTACTTGTGTTGTTTTTGTCCACAAAAGTTTTTTGTCTATACAAATTGGTTCCTGAAGTTGTCAACTTGTTAAACCCTTCGGGGACCAATTTGTATAGGCAGAAATCTTCCAAGACCAAAGCAACACAAGTAACATCTTTCAGGGACCAAGCTGTATATTTACTCCACTTAAATTTGTTAGGAGTTCATGTCATATCAAACAATGTAGAGTTTGTAGCCAACCTATTTAACTTTCAGGAGTTCAACTGCATCTCAAAATTAATTTTTAAACCATAAATCCAGGATAGAGTTTCGAGAGAATTAATGCATAACTGAAGAAAATAATAATAGAGGTTCTATGCCCCCAAAATCCAACATTTTGAGTGACATTTGAGCTCAAAAATCACAGTATATAAATATAGTTCTGTAGCATCGGATTATTGTAGGAAGTATCAATATGATCTATTTAGTAATTTGTCTCCATTTGAGCAAGAAAAAAAAAATAGGTGAATACTTTCTCCGCTTATTTTTCCCTTCTGTCTCTTCATTCGGGCATGAACTGGACTAATTGAAAGTTGACATAAGAAAAAATAATTTTTTTTTTTAAAGTTTAGAAATCTCGTCTAGTTTGAATAGTGAAAACAGATTGAGAAGTTGGAGGAGGAAAGCCAGTTAACAATAGTAGATGATTGTTAAAAATAGTACCACTGCATCAAGGTATGTTTGGCCAACCCTCTCAGAGCTCAGTTGGAATGGACAGTCAAAGTAATGTTCTTGTGGAGAAGTGGAAAAAATCACATGACCTGAAAAGAGCACATAAAGAAACTCAGGTTCTCAACATTAGAGAAGAGAAAGAAAAATACGTAGAGCAAATTGCATTAGCCATATTAGAAAAAGATCAGGGTTAGACGAAATATGGCACAAGATATTACCATTACGGACAACTCTTAAGCCACAATCCCCAACATTGGCAATCTTTAGAATCCCATTCTTCTCCAGCATAGCAACAATACTTCATAGACAAGACACTAAATAGGTAAATTGTGATAGAATAGTTTAAAATGCAAGTGTCAATGTTTGAACTTACACAGTAGCTGAGCCTGTAGAGGAAGTAGCAGCATGCGCTTTCCTTATAAGAATCTGAGGATCATTGTTCACCTGCTAAATCCATCAATTAGCAAACAGTAGTACATGCATAGAAGCAGTCTTATTGCTCAAAATGAACAGAAAAGAAAAAATTATCTAAATTTTAACAATGAATTGTCCTCACCCCTATCCTCGCTAGTCGGGGTTTAACGAGGAGTGGTTTTTAATGAATTGTTGTAGCTTAATGGTTGGTGTTACAAGCTTCCAGAAGGGGTACCGGGTTTGACACCCACCAACAGCACTATAAAATATAGAGGGCGAGTTTGAAGCAGTGGTAAAACAGCTCTTTTGTGACTGAAAGGTTATAGGTTCAAATCCAGAGAACAGTCTTTTTGCAAATATGCAAGGGTAAGACCGTGTACAATTTGTTATTGCTCTTACCACTACCCTCACTAGTCGGGGTTTAATGGAGAGTTTTTTTTTTTTTTTTTTCTTTCTTTTTAATGTACTTGGAAAGCAAAATAATTATGATTTAGAAAATGTTCATCATCAGCAAGTGTGTTTAGGTTATGTTACCTCCTCATCTCCTACAAAATTGGAAGCATTAGCCAGCAATTCACGTGGGAACAGTGAAGGATCCACGTCCTCTTCAGCCCAACTGAGACACAAAATACAAAAGCATGTTAAGACAATTTATCATAAGTCATAGGTTATGCCTTATCATTGAAGATAATTTCTCAGCACCATTTAGAATGTTAAATCAATAATTAATTACCCAGAGACGCCATCAGCAACAGCAATAATTCCCCCATTATGATTGCTGACAAAGAAAGCATCTTCCCCACCTCTGTCAACCTTTAGAAATACCAGGACTTGAGCAAGTGGCAGATGCACCCAAAAAAAATTAGAAAACTTGTTCACTTAATTGAGTTCACTTAGCAGAAAAGACACTTTTTTTGTGTTTACTATGGTGTTATTCATGAGCAATGGACGAAAGTGGCTTGCTTTTCTTGGGTTCAGTTCAGTTGAAATGATTAATACCTTTTTTGGATGTGGAATGAGGCAAGTCCCAACAGAAAATGATACCTCGGACCTACAACCTCAGAAACAGAAATCAAACAAAAACCCATGTTTAAGGAAGGGCCAAAAAAGCATGAAGAATCAGAAATTGAGGAGTAGCTCACCGAATTAAAGGGTTAAGTTCTGAAGAAAAAGAAGAAGAGAGCACCACTCTCTTCCTCTTCTTTGCGGTTTCATCAATAGAAGATATGGAATGAATGAGTTGCCGAGACCGAGAATGAGAAATCATTGCAGCCCTCAATATGGGGATTGCCATTTCTTCCCGCTTCAACTTCAACAAACTCTCTCCTTCACACACAGCCATGAAAACGAAAACGAAAACGAACGTTTATCTCGATTTTTATTTTGTGAATACAAAATATTAAGTAAATTATAAATTTCAATGTCTTAACAGCAAGCACCAGTGGTCTAGTGGTAGAATAGTACCCTGCCACGGTACAGACCCGGGTTCGATTCCCGGCTGGTGCAATCAAATTTTTTTTCAAACTTTCCATTTTTTATTTATTTTTACAGAAAAACCTTTCTAAATTTCAGTATTTCGTTCTTGCTGTTCTTCTATCTCCCTCTTCGCTCTTCACTTTCAAGTTGCAGTAATGAACGGTGCCGCCATTAGTTTTATCGAAGGTAAATAATATTATCTATTTATTATTTTCCTTTTAATTTTATCAGAAAAAATTGGTAGAAAAAGAGGGGGAAAATGTTCAACTGCTTTGTGAATTGAGTGTTTTTTTTTTTTTTTTGGGGTGTGTGCTTGCATATAGAAAACGGAAACGGAAGCGATTCGGACGCGAATTCCGATGACGCGCCGGAATACTACCAGCCGATCTCCGCCGTCGACGACGACGGAAACTCAGACGGAGAGCACGGGGTTGAGTTCCACCAGCTGCCGAACGGATACAGCAGCGGGCATGGTGTAGCGGAGAACGGGATCTCGTCTCTGGATCTAAACGACGACGTAGAGCATAAGAGCAGCGATGAGGAGGAGGAGGAAGAGGAGAGAAGCGGAGAGGAATTTGAGAGTGCGATTCGGAGTGCGTTGAGGGAGGACGAGAACCGGAGGAATGCGCCGCTGACGGTGGATAACGCGACGAGGGTGATGGAGGCGATGCGCGGAGTGTCCTTTGCCGGAGTTGCTCCCGATTGGGTTGCACAAATCCCTGAGGATTCCTGGATTGATCATCTTCGCAGATTGAGACAACCACCACACACCTAGATATATTTAGATTCATTCTATTTTCCCCTTCATTTCAGTTCTGAATTTGTTTTCTTTTTTCTTTACTCATTCTAAGAATTGTGTTTTGTGGGAACAATTATTTGGTCAATTTCATATTCTTCTTGATAAACCACATAAATTCTACTGTCCAATGACAATTATATGCTGAGAAGTATTGTTTCTTAGCTTTATTTGGTACAAAGAATCATAGCTTGTAACTCAGTGACGCAGTCAAGTTGATAAGATTGATAACATTCTATAAAATTACACAAACTGAAAATTCTCCCACCGATTACAAACACTTGTCTAAGCCGTTCACAGCAGTGTCAATTCGTGAATTAAATTTTAACTTCAAAACTGGCATTCAACTCCGATTGTAGCTGCTCTTGCCTTTATATATTCGTTCATAGCAAGCCCATTTTCTCATGAAAAAAATGTTATATATTAGTTGTTTGATCATTGGAAGCCACAGAATGAACAAGGTCCCACTGCCTTCTCAAGCACCTATATTTTCAATATCAGCACCTTTGTCCATTCTTTTGACAATTCCAGCAATAACCTGAAGAGAGTTCATAAAAACAAAAATTAGCACATTTATGCGGGCTAACAACCAGTTCCACAGTATTGGTATCATTCTAGTATCGGTTGTGTAAATTTTCTACCTTTCCGGGTCCCAGTTCATAGCTTTTATTCAGTCCCTTGGTTAGAAGAGTCTTCACTGTTGTTTCCCATTGAACAGGTGAAGTAACCTGCCAATTGCATTACAGGTGCAATTATTTTCAGTTCATGTCTTCGTGTTGGAAAGAAGCAAGGATCACCAGCATACCTGACGTGCCAATGTCTTCTTTATTGTGTCAGGATCTGCATGCGGCTGTACATCCACATTGGAAATGACTGGTATTCTTGGGGTTCTGATTTCTGTTGCTGCCAATGCTGCTTCCAATCTTGACACAGCTGGTTCCATAAAACTAGTGTGGAAAGCACCAGCAACAGCTAGGCGCACCTGCCACAGTAAGGGAAAGGCATTATTTCTTTGAAAAAAGGTGGCATTGGGAAGAGAAGATTAGGGGCAAATTCATACAGTCATTCGAGCCTTGAAAGATTTTGCTTTTGATTCCAGCACTTCTACTCCTTTTATGCCTCCAGAGACAGCATAGTTTCCCTACCAAAATATAACACATTCCAAAGAAGCTACTCATCATAAAAATAAGAAACAGAATTTTGTCTAAGCTTGTTAAAAGGCAGATCCACAAGAACCTTACTGGACATAGGTAATTGGCAATCTGAACCTTCTCAGCTTCAGGAACTTCCTGATTGGCTGCATCACACAATTGTTGGACCTTGTCTGAGTCCAGTCCTATCACACTAACCATGGCACTTTTAGCAGCATCGGCAGCATCCTGGATAAAAGAACTAATGTTATGTTACTAACCAGAAACACAAATTACTATCCAAATGAGTTCATATGAGTCAGACAAGAAACTAGACCAGCTAGCAGAGACTGCTTACCTGCATGGCTGCACCTCTCAGTTTGACCAACTTGAGTCCATCTTCAAAGCTTACAAGTCAAATTAAATACATGGTTAATAGCCGGTCAATTAAGAAAAAGTGGAAATTAAACAAAACCACTCAAAGGATATTTAAGTCACAACTTGTATGTGTAAAATTACATAGTAGATATTCTACATTCACCATATGCTGCAAGCTGGCAGACTGACAAGGAAAGGTTCTAAACTTCATAGATGGTACTTTTCCAATAGGCTAAAAATAAAGAAAGTTATTTCCCTGTAGGGGTGAGGGTACTCCATGTACGCACCTTACCCTGTGCATATTACAAAGAGGCTACCGTGACTTTTTAGTCATGAAAAAATAGTTTTACCACGGCTCCAGACTCGTCACTTTTTTACTTTTCCAATAGGCTACCAACAATAAATTCATTTAGAAAGATGTGGTGATGGGTGAGAATTAAAGCAAAATGTAAACCTTAGATCAACTATTCACATTCAGAAAAAACCACAGTTCGGTAACTCACATGTATCGACTTGGTTACTCTAATGCCACAACCAGACTCAAAGTAAAGGTCTAACTCAACTATATGGTACAGAAGTGTCATGGCCAAAAATAAGAGGCACATATGCAATAATTACTTATTATTCCTTTACTTTTTATGAAGATTTATGGATACATGAAGAAAAATATGAAAAAGTGGAGGAAATGAAAGGGGAAGCCATAGAAATGCCATTGTAATAAAAAATAATTACTTATGGAAACTCACCTGAAAGCCCCAGCAAAAGCCAGAGCAGTATATTCTCCCAGGCTTAAACCACATGTAACATCAACAGAGTCAATAATCTGCTGACCTCCCTCGCGCACACGAAGTAGCTCTACAGCAGCAAGACTTGTGACATAAATAGCAGGCTGAAGGAAGCAGAGATTCAAATGGTGAACATTACATCTATGGCAATCTTTATAAACAACAGAAATTTGAGAACTGAACAAGTTATGCATACTAGTATAATATAGTTCTTTACTTCTTTATTCTCTTTTACTTTTTATATAAAAAAAAATCTTGATCACAAAGGAGGTCTGAGGCCTGTGGAGGAGGGAATGGAAGGCGAAAGTGCAGGCAAAGTGGCCTAGCTGGGATGTGATCCCCAGGATCAAGAAGTTCCCATAGAGACTTAGTGTCACTTAAGTTATAGCTCTTTGGCGGCTTTTGACCTTTTTACCCTTCATTAATTAATTAATAATCATTTTGCCCCTTATTCAAAACTATCTACCAATCTGCCCCTCTTTAATCGATTAACTTGAAGATTTAATCGATTAAATAATCAAAACTGACAAAAATGGTTGACTTGAAGATTTAATCGATTAAATCTTCAACTTAATCAATTAAATCTTCTTGGCATATTTGGCAAAAATGGCAAAACTGCTTATAATCATCTAACTCGTGGTGATGATGGTGGTAATTCGCAAGCCAATCTGCTGTTACCCTTCCTTGGCGTATGATGATAATTGATGGACCAATTCTTTCTTGCCAATTTTTAGACTTTGTTTATGTGATTGATTTTAAACACGTTGGATTTTAGTATATCATCTCTGATCTTTGTTGAGTATATTAACCTGCAGGATACAAGAATCGTATTATGATAATTCCAATTTCTCATTATTTGTGGCATTGTAATACTGTGCTGGTGAGTGTTAGTTAATTGACGATCCATTGTCATCGATAAAATCAATAAAAGTACTGTTTTGTATCCCTATGATATTTCTTTTTTGGTATACAGTTAAGTTTTAATGAAATTATTTGCTGTCAGAAGTCATATATACAAAAAAGGCAAAGCAGTCTGTGAAAGCCATTTAGTGGCTTGCATACGGATATTAACAAGAAAGAATTGGTCCATCAATTATCATCATACGCCAAGAAGATTTAATCGATTAAGTTGGAGATTTAATCGATTAAATCTTCAAATCAACCATTTTTGCTAGTTTTGACCATTTAATCGATTAAATCTTCAACTTAATCGATTAAAGAGGGGCAGATTGGTAGATAATTTTGGATAAAGGACAAAATGGTTATTAATTAATTAACGAAGGACAAAAGGGTCAAAAAGCCGCTCTTTGGCTCCTATTTCCTTTTCAAAGTTAACCAGCAAAGGTTTTTGACATTTACATATTTTAATTGGATGAAATATAAAAGCTAAAGGCACAGGCTTAAAGCAATCTTTGAACTTGATTATGAAGTGATCCAGCAGAAGTAATTTCACTTGATTCAACTTCCAATCATCAAACTGAAATTGCCTTGACCACTCATTATGCATATAAGCCATCTCCATAGCACTCTGCTATATTGGAATGATTTCCAGTTTTTAATTGACTATATTAAACTAACAAGCATGAAACCATGACTAAGATATGGCATGCAAATTTCCAGCACCCTATTTTATATTCCATATATACGCATAAAACATATACTTGCTGTTTCAGTTTCAAGTAATAGCAGCCCAAGGATTCTTCCCTAACTGAAGATAGAGTATCTTAAACAATAAATAATTGGGTTTTATAATTCTCATTTAACATGAGAATTACAATTTTCCTACACATCCTTCGATTTCCGTGCTGACATGAGTCCTACATATAATTTTTTCTAACACATGGGTCCCATATACTTTTTATCTCTACAACATGAAATTTCAATTCTCCTTCAACATGAGATTTATAAAACCCTAAATAATTAGTAAATAAATAAAAATTACAGCTTGTTCTGAGTTAAATGACAACCAAAATCAGATTTTTTTTTTAATTTATTTATTTATATAGAGTAAAAAAATTAGTACAGCATTATAGAACTATTTTTTTATGTCCTTAACTGAACATTCTTAACACGAAAACTAAAACAAATGATAGCCTTGAAAAGTATACCTGGCTAATAACGGTTGAATTTAGCTTTTCTTTTGGCCCATTGATACATATATCAAGAAGATCAAACCTGAATGCAGAAAATACGAAATAATAGTCACGACGGAAAATATAATATCTCAATAAATATTAAAAAAAAAAAAGCTTCAGAAAATGCTTAAAAATTAAAGTGATAATTACCCCAATATCTCATTAGCTTTCTTGTACAAAACTGAAGCAGCAGGCACATTCTGAGCTTCTTTTCCCATTCCAACTGCTTGTGCACCCTGCAACCACATCACATCGATTAGTCCTTTTTTCGTCTTTCAATCAAAATTCCCAAATTCGTGCAAAACGACGTCGTTTTGACGGAAAATGTACCTGACCAGGGAAGAGAAAAGCAGTGGAGGCTTTGTAATCAGCGAACGAAGCATCGTTGACGGAAGCCTGAGATCTGGTGGAGACGCTCATGAAAACCCTAGATCGATGGAAATTGGTTTTGAAAGCGAGGCTTCGAGGTGTTCCATTTGTAGTAGTGGCGAAGAAGGGAGTGGAAGGAAGAGTAGTGAGAGAGGAAGACATTGCAGAGAGCGAAGAAGAAGAAGAAGAAGAAGAAGAAGGGTTGCGAAGAAGAATAAGGGAATGGTGAATGAAACTTAGCATTTGCAGTTAGTGGATATATAGTTAGATTTAGTGAAGGCGGAGCTTACAAGACGTTGGAGTTATTATAGTTAGTTAACATGTTTTTGCCTTCAAAACCAAAGAAACCGCCCAACAACTTTACTACTACCATGGTTGATGCCATCGTCACAACAAGTTGAGGAAAAAAAAAACACTGGGTATAAGAAATAAAACAAAAAAAGCGAAATTTCGTGTCAGAGAAATTTTATTGGTGATATATGAATTTTTTTCAACTGTTGATGATATCACGTACAGAATAAAATGATTGAAATTTGTGATTGTTAAGAATTAGAATGAATTTTTTATTTTTAAATTAGTAAAAAATAACATAAAATTACTATTATTATTTTTTAGATTATCCTTGATAATCTTGTCGGTACCTTATAAATTAATTCAGAATTCAGGAAGGACCTATAATTAAGGCTTTAAATCTATCATTTGATAAAATTATGTTTTTTCAAAGGGAAAAATGTTTATTCTTTTAAATAACACAATTTATATCCTTTCACTCTCATGAAGAAGTGGGACTCACACTTTTATTTTTTGGAAAAAGTTCAACAATACTCCGGTGGTTTGTTCCAGAATCACTTATACCCCTGTAATTTTTTTTTTATCACATATGCCCCTGTGTTTTCTAAAAAATAAAAAATCACAGGGGGATATGTGATAAAAAAATATACCCTTTTGCAAACCACATGGGCATATGTGATATAAAAAAAACTACAAGGACATAGGTGATTCCCAAGCAAACCACATGGATATTTGTGAACTTTTCGCTTATTTTTTTTGTCAACTCTCTCTCCTCCTTTATTTATCTCTTTCTCTCTCTTAAAATGATACAACTTTATATCCTTTTTAAAATGACACACACTTTACAGTTTTTTTTAAAATACAAGAACTACTCAAACTTGACTATGTTCTCTAGATATAAAGTTCTGCCCCAACATAGTGTTAACAAAAATTCTTTTGGGTAGTTTTTTTGTGAAAAGCATGCATGTCAGGTGGGAAAATTGTAATTTGCATTATTTATATTATTTTATGTTAAAGTTTAACGCTGTTTCTCTGTCTAACACAAAGAAACGTGCAAAAAAATAACCTCTAAATATTGTTATGGCAAATTTGGGATGATGGCAGTTTTTGTAAGACTACGGATGTGAAAGATTGATAATGTATAATGCCCTGTGTGTAAGATAGATCTATGAAAACTCTTTCTAATTAACATGCTATATGTCAATTACGCTTAACCGGCCTCATCATTTTTATAGGAGTACTCACAATGTCACTTCTATTAGGAATGGTTGTTCTCTTGGTTATGATAGTCTCTTAATGTTATTGATCTGAATGAAAGAAAATTTCTGGAAATCTTATGTTATGCGTTTTATTATTCGAGTACAAGTTAACCAGGAGGGTATTTTCTTTATGGGTCCGTCGCTTTTCATGTGACTGCTAATGAGAAAAGTTGCGGCAAATTTTTAACACTAGGATACATGTGCGGATCTTAGGATACACGTGCGGATTCTATCAAAACAAAAAACAAAAAAAAAACAGGATTCGGACGCGTATCCTGTATTGCTACAAGTTTTCCCTTCTGCAGTCACATAAGAAGTAATTTCCCCTTTCTTTATTAAGAGATCCAACATATATAGAGCAATTCAACTGAGATTCTCAATACCAACTTGAACTTGTGGTCTGTTTGATCCTTGTGGCACAGCACCCTGTATTATATTCTTCAGAAAGGCTTTGATATTAGTTTCAGATGACCCATCTTTTGCAATTGTTAGCTGACATATATGTTGAAACTCTTTGGCCCTTTTTCTCATATCTCTTCCAACATCACTATCTAACTGCATGAATTTCCTCAGCAGCACAACAATCTCATCTCTTCCCACCAGTGTGTCTAATTTATCTTCTTTCTTCACCCTCCACCCAACTTTCCAATCCTCAACAATGAGCTTACTAATTAGTGGTTGGTCCATAGCAAGTGGGAAGGTTAGAAAAGGAACCCCAGCAAAAAGACCTTCTATAATAGAATTCCACCCAGAGTGTGTCCAGTAACCACCTATAGCAGGATGTAACAACACCCTCAATTGGTCACACCATGCAACAACCAATCCCATGTTCCCACAAATGTCCTTCAACCTTGAACTCTCTCCATGCATATTACCCACAAGAATCTAACCCCACTATTGTGCAAAGCAGCAGCTATTTCATCCATTTGTGCACTTGAAACTGAGAGAAGGCTACCATATGAGATGTACAAAACAGAATCAGAGGGTTGGCTATTTAGCCAGTTAAAGTAAAAGTGGCCAGCACCATTAGCATCATGTGAATTGTCTCCGAGAGTAAGATAAGGTATGTTTGGTAGTAAATATAACAGTCCCCACTAAATAGTTACACTTTAATTTTGTATAAAGTTTTTGCTAATGAAGGCTTTTAAAACATTAATTAAAACTAAATAAAATAATTAATAAATTAGGATCTTAAAAAATTAATTTTATTAAAGGTTTTTTATCTTAATTTTTAACAAAAATTGTTTAAGGTAAACAAACATTAGGGGAAAAAAATCGTTTGGATAATTGTTAAGATAGAGAGAATTTACCTGCTTATCAGGGCCAGATGCCCATACTGACCGTGCGTGCAGCAAGAAGATCCCGGTCATACTTGGTCTAGAAAAATTACCCTAGTTTCTTTCTAATTCTATTCCAGTTCGTGCTAACAACACCATTCTCTATGTCCTCTGCAACAGGATCTGCTACCTACAAAAGCAAAGGAAAGGATAATCTTCACAAAAGGAACAACTCTAATTCAATGTCTAAACAAAAAGAAATACAAATCAATTACAGAAGAATTGAGTAGGGAAAATAATAGAAGACATTGACTTCTACTTCAGAATAGAGCTCTCTCAGGTGTTTCATAATTGAATTCAAGTAGAGCTCACCAATCCCTAATGTAGTGTGTGCCAAAAATGTAGGGTTTTAAGGCATTTTAACACGATAAACGTGATTCTCATTGCAAATGCTACCCCACACTTATCAAAGGTGTGACAACAAATGATTTTTAATGCTTCATATGAATAGTAGAATAGATATTAATTCTTGCTTCAAGTGAAAATGATTGAAATTTAAAAGCATATTAATTGTTGATGTGGTGAATGCAGCCATCAGTCCCTAAGGAGAACAATAAGTTGATTGTACAAAAAGTTGTATAGATCCCTTGGGATCTTTGATGGTATATGCTCCTATAAATGCTGCAACACTTAATTTGGCAATGAATGGAGGAGACTCTTCACTATTGCCTATTCTTCCTTTGGGGTTTACCATATATATGACATCAAAAGATGGACGATCAAAAGCTGTTGCAGGAGAATCAGAAGGTTCGTTTCTAACTCTGGCTTACCAAGAACTTGCGATGGGGGAGCTAACATGGAATTTGCAGTAACAAGTTTTGAACATTCAAGATGTGAAAACGGTGAAGGAAAAACATATAATGTAACCGAAGATTAACAATCCAATTAATATAAAATCAGAAGATAGTTGAAGTTACAAGCGTGTTGATGCCACAGAATCCATATTCAATATTAAATCACATATGGACTAGCCAAAAGATTATATAAACATTAACCATTGAAATGAACACAAATTTAAACTGGGACATCAACTGCATTATCCTCCGCCACTCAATGACGTTGGACACATAAAATGTCTTGTATAAATACATTTAGGTTCATATTGGAGGATCCACCTTCAGCGACTGCTCGATCACATATGCCCTTGAGTTCTAGCGCCCTGTCTCTAATTTCTTTACCATTCCCACTTTCAAGATCCATAAACTTAGTAACCACTTCTAATATTTCTGCTTGTGTTATCAATTCTTCACTTCCCAACTTTGATCTTTTTAACTCCCACCCGTTCTTCCATTCTTCCAAAATTTGCCTCCTATTTGGGAATTGGTCAAAGAAAAGAGGGAACGTCAGCATTGGAATACCAGCAAAAACAGATTCCATGGTAGAATTCCACCCACAATGACTCCAAAACCCACCTACAGAAGGATGGGATAAAACCTTCAATTGGTCACACCAAGGCACCACTAAACCCTTATCCCCACATTTCTCTTTTAACCAAGAAGTTTCTTCACGAGCCACCCAAAAGTAACCAACACCACTTGTGTTTAAAGCTGAAACAATTTCATTCATTTGTGCACTTGACACAGAAAGGAAACTGCCAAAAGAAATGTACAATACTGACAGAGCTGGCTGAGAATCTAGCCAATTTAAGTAGTCAATGTTGTAATCATTATTGACTTCTAAATGACCAGTTTCAGGTTTGAAGTAAGGAAAGGAAATGGGATAGATTGGGAAAGGGAACACAACTTTCAAGGAATCAATTGCTTCAGTTTCTAGCTCTTGGATTGTACTCAATATCAGACAATCTGCTTTGGGCACAGTTGATATACATTTCAACTTAAGTTGCAAAAACTTCAAGTCGTTTTCATGAACCACATTTCTTAGATCAGCTAATTGTGTTGAAGAAATTCCTGGCATATGTTCTTCATCATCATCTGCATCATTAAAAGTCACAATGTTCAAACATCAACAAATAGGAACTACATTTATAGTAAGAGAAATATTTTTTTTATGTTACATACAAAAAGCGTATCTCATAATACACGCCTATCGAAATCTGAGCCAATATATATATATATATTATAATTATGAGACCCATCTAATTATGTCTCTACATGAATGCTATCTCATGTAACATAAGAAAAATTTATAATAATTTTACTAAAAAGTAAACTATCCATTTCAACTTTTAACAATTCATATATTTTTTTTTATCATTTCTAATGTCGATTGTTGATTTCCAGGACGACTATAATTTATTTAAAATTAATACTTAATTAATTAGCATAACTTAATAAATTATAAGTATTAGGAATAAGACTTATATCAAAAGATTATTCCATGTCTATATAGAAAACATAATTATTATCGATATATTCTTGATCTTGATCTTATTTGTATCTGATGGGTATCTGATAAATAAATTAAATTCAACTCAATAAGTAGATAATTTCTAATGTAACTAAATAATAACATTAAATTTTCTCTGATCCATTTAACTATTAATTATTTAAACATGAAATGTTGTAATTTTACCTAGAAGATCAACTATGAAATCCCGGTTACGGGCTAAGCTTTCCAGTTGATGCAACATGTAGTAAAAGGAAGCTGACATAGTCCAAAGCAGCGCCACCGGAATATTTCTCCGGCGTGCAACGGCGACCGGGAACTGCAACTCAACGTCGCCGATGATGGCGGTGACGGGAGGGTTAAGCTGATCAAGGAGGTTGTCAAAGGGAGCTTCGATGTTGGTCATGGCGGCTTGGGAGAAGGCAGGGGAGTCGGCGGCTATCTGAGTGTGGTGGGGGAGGAAGTTTGGGATGGTGGCGAAGCGAATGTTCTCCGGCTTAGGCTCGGAGCCGATGTAGCCGAGCCACTCTTGGGTAACCACGATAGTGATAAGAAGAGCACCACCATCATGACCTTGTGATGTTGAAGAAGCTGCAATTAGTTTGCAGAGCCTCAACATGGGGGTCACGAGACCTCGACCTGGGAAAGGCATGGCCACCACGTGACCACTAAACCTCATAGTTGCTGGAACTTCCATCAATGACTCGTAAGTTATGCTTAGGGTTGATTAGATCTTTGATCTGTGAAAGGGGAAGAAGGCAAAGGCTTTTAAGTGAAGCTGTTTACATGCAGTAGTTCTTGGCATATTTTAGATTGTCTCACAAATAAAATATTAGTTGTTCTTTAATAATGCGTTTGAATTGATGAATATTGACCGTAATATTGATTGAAGCATTAAATTCTTTTTTTGAATTGCATTTAATTCGCCCGACTTTTCATTAAAATAATTCGCCAGACTTTTCATTAAAATATGTCCATTCGAAGATTTCAAGGATACCTATTAATAGTTTTTGGGTTTTATGTTTATAATTTAACATAATATAACTTTACTTTCCTACACACACATTAAAGAGGTGGGGTTCATATTTTTTTTTTCTCTTTCATCATTCCACTTTCTCTCTCCCTTTTAATGTGAGAGTTGGAAACAACACTTACATCATGTTACATAACACTGATAAAATCCATAGTTTTTTTAACTTTTACATTTGTTTAACGTAATCATAGACCTTCTCAAGTCACAATTCTCAAGCGCTATTGTTGTTTTGCACTGTCCCTCCCTACAGCTACTATTTGCCCAATATCCTTCCTAGTGAACGAAGCAATTATTTGCGCCATCGACGGAATTTTTTACCGTAGTCCAGGATCATCATGTTCCTTCCACTTAAAATTTAACACTTAGATTAATTTTTTTTCCTCTCTCCTCAACTTTTTCTCTTTTTCTTTCGTCTCAGTCTCACGGATAAATTTTTAGTACCACTGTTGTACTCAAGTGAGTACAACATTTTTCCACTTGTAGAAAAAATTTAAACACTTTTCAAATTTCCATTTCCCGACACATTGCACTTTTTTTTCTAAAAATAGTAAAATATTGTACCCACTTGAGTGCAACAGTGATACTAAAAATTTATCCCAGTCCCACCCAATATTTTTTGGTCCGGGTGCATACTAACTCTGATCGCCATTGACATAGCTGCGAAATTGTCAGTGACTGCTAAGACGACAATGCAAAAAAGCCAATATCTTCGCCAGTCTTATGATCACATTCTTATGTCAAAAATTTAAATTTTTCACACCTCAAAATTAAGCTTTACATTTTATTGCAGTTGAAGAATGTTATATTTACAAACTTTTTGTTTATAAACTACACTGTATATGATCGATCATATTTCAATCAAGAGTGTATGATCGATCATGAAGTTATATATAATAAATAAGACTAAATGAAGTTATTTTACATAGGACCTGTTATTATGACGTTACAAATGACACTCCTCCTCGTGGCTCATGAAGGTAATTTTAATACTATTAAAAAAAAAAAAAAAAAAAACACACACCACATAAGCCGTTTGCATTTGCATGATAGAAGCCATTTGTATTTTTTTTTTGATATATCGCTCTTAATTACCTCTTTGAGATGAGTTGGCTCCTCGAATATCTTACAAGTTTCAATTCTTTGAGCGAACTTTTAGTGCGGTCGCATGTTTGACTTCCTTTCAATATTTGCCACTTGGAATTATTTTTTTATTTTTTTCATCCCACTTTCGCCTTCTCTCTATTTTTGATTGGTTTTTTCCACTGAGTAAATAGTACCACCATTGTACCTTAAGAATTTCCCAACTCTTTGAACCAGCCATGAGATTAATCCTGAGTCGGAGTTTAGTCACATTTAAAGCTCCTCGTCCCTCTCTAAAGATATATTTGGTGAGGATCAAATCCAGGTTTTCTCCTAACTCTATGCGGTGTGTGTTGCCAACTAATTGGGTTACGAGAGACAATCACTTGTACATACACACACCTTATTTGAGTACAGAGAGAGCAACTAGAAACCCCTAAGGGTAGCTCAATCGCTAAAGTTGAGCGTCCACGGTTGCTTTGTTCAGGGTTCGAATCGTGAACAAAGCAATTATTGGAATCCTTTGGGGCTAGAGGGAAAAGGCTCTCCCTTAATGGAGGATTAGTCTCATTTTTGTTGGAGTTTTCTAGTGTGATGAATCTTATATTGATTGGTAATAGGTTAAGTGAAGTGTATATAAATCGGGGGACCTATGAACCTAATGACTTAAGGTTTTGGATTATGACATGATTTTGGACCCACTTGATATGGTGCCCATTTGATGGTGGTTCTCTTCCATGAGCTAAACACTCATGCTCTAATGGACATGGGAGTTCATTTATTTGGCAACTAACCACATAGAAAACATATATATTTACAACTCATCAGTAATAAATCATACTAGGGAAAATACAAGACCAAGAAACATTATTTATTAATAGACTCAAAATGACGTTGTCATAGAAAGTATCTGTCTTCAAAGAGCAAATTTGTGCAGGAGTATTAATGTGGGTAAAAAAAACAGACAAACATAAGGACAGAAGCCAGTCCCCCAGGAAGAAACATTGCATAAGCTATGCAGTTATTTCAAGCCCAAAATCAAGGAATTTCATACATGGATGTAAAATTATTGAATCAATCTGTTTATGAACAGAGTTCTATGACAGTAGACATCATTGAGCATTCTAGAAAAAAAGAAGTTGTCAGCAGCAATTATTCCATCAGAACTACCAGTAGTTTAATTAGCTTAATGGCTGAATCAAACTGCAGACCGTGAGAATCATCTCAAATGAATACTAAAGAATACCATAATCCTATGAGGAGTGGACTAATTAGCACTATAACTGAGGAAGGGAAAGAAAAATCATGTTTCGAGGATGTTAGGAAAGAGTCAAATGACAAAGTTTCATCCCAATGTTAGGAAAGAGTTTGAACACATCTTACTGTTCAAAAATGAAAATTGCAACATAGATACATAAACGATTTACCAGAAAAGAAATGTAATAGTTAAACACAACAATTCTAAACACACTGGAAAGTTATCATGTGATTTTTTATTTTTATTTTTGGTAAAAACACCATAGTTATCATGTGACTTTCATAATAAGCAAGACAGTTAATCCGAGAGATTAAATATGTATAGTATTGATGGATTTTGTTCTCCAATCAAATTGATTGCAGTCCTACAACGCTGTTTCTTGGAAAATTCAGATTCAGCAAGAGAAAAAAAAAACTGAAGGCAGTATTTCAATGTTTACTACAAAATCACGGATCAAGTCGCATGCTTAAGCAATATAATCTGTTTACTACATTATGCTTATCATGAAATTAAATAAAGCTAGTAGTAATGAAACTGCTACGAGGAGATAGCTAGTAACCACAGAGGACAAGGGGAAAGATCACAAGGAATGAACTTATTGCAAGATCAAGCCCAAGTTGTAGTTATACTCCACACTCCTAACCCTCTGTAGGAAAATGAGTCACCAGAGACCCTTTTTCCAGTTTTAATTTATAGATTTAGCCATTAGTTTATAGTCCTAAACAAAGATTATTCTTGGATTGCTTGACTCACGTAAATTCAAGTTCACATTTCTTTTCTCATCACTTATTACATCTGTTTTATGTTTTTTCTGTCATTTGATAACACGGTCCTATATTCATATTAGTTGAAAAATTTATCAAATGTTAAGATGGTTCCCCTCTCCATTCTATTAAAGACAACAAAATATAGGAATTTATTGGCCACATGTCAATTAATACTGTTTGGCCAAGTGTCCTACGAGAATAAAACATGAAAAGTGTTGGGTTTGCTCTTTTACGCCCAAATGGGTTATTAGTATGAGAAGAGCCCAAGGAACCTAGAGCCCAATGAGCTAGGGTTTCTTGGAACCCATATAAATAGTACCACTTAAGTCATCAGCCTCCGAGGTCTTTTGTGAGAAAGAGGCTAGCTCAGAATCTGATTGGTGCTCACACACTTCCCCTTCCTCCTCGAGAGATAGTTTGGAAGGTCTACCACAACAGTTCGTGAGTTCGTGCTGTGACGCAAAGGACTCAAGCGTGTGAAACATCATCATCTCACATATGCGTCATCATGATGATCCTTATACATCCAAATCACAATAGTCTCATACGCTTCCGCAGATGCAATTGCTCCTACAATTGGTATCAGAGCCGGATTGTGCTTTTGGATGTGGATCTAGTTTATTTTACGTTTATCATGTAATTTGTTTTGCTTCGTAAAATATGGCACCTAGGTTTCTATATTTGTTATTATTGGCATGTGTATCCTTTATAATTCTTTTTATAAAAATCAATGTTTTTATTTGATTTTTGGCTTTAATCCATGGTAGAGATTTGGTTGTATTTTCGAGAGTTGTAACAAGGAGGCTAATCCTTTATGATTAGGTTTCCTCCTTGCTGTTTTTATTTATTTTTGGAATTTCTGTGTATTTTTCTAATATTTTGTAAAAGTTCAAGATCGAGAAACCGCGAGGAAGATGCGCAGTCAGCACTGTCAGAGACTTTTTGAGGACTTTTCGATCTCAGAATGGAGCGATCTATATATGGTTGGAAAGAGGACGAAAAGACAAACGCAACGGTGGGTGGATCGCCGCCACTAGAACCGCCACGCGCCGTTGCGAGTGGCCGCCACTCTCCGGCAAAGAATGAGAGCGTGAGGGAGCGTCCGGCCACATTTTTGGGTGGTTTCGGCGGCGGTGCACTCGTTTCTTTGTGGCGGTCCTTCCCCTGGAGTTTCGTGCTGAGATGAGTTCGGGTGACGACACAGTGAACGTGACGGATAGGGTTCCTGAATGTTGACTTAGGGTTTCTCGCCAAAAGTTGGTATTTTGGGCTTTTGGGCCCATGGTTACCATAAAGTGGTTTGAAACAGAAACTATGGACAATAAGGAAAGGAGCAAATCAGCCGCAAAAGTTTCCTATTTAATTACTTTGTAATTTTTTTAGGAAACTATGGATTAAGGTCTTTATTATAATTAATTGCTTTAATTGTATGATTGGATGAATTATGTGATTGATAACATGCTTAATTGCGATAACATGACATATAAAATAGGTGGTGCTATTTTTGTTGCATAACTTGTATGATTACATGAGCATAGTAGCTATTATGTCTTCAACGACTAGTATGATAGTTATTATGAGATTATTTTGATTTTAAATTATCCTAAAAAATTAATTAATAATTATTATGATTTTTGTTGAAAATCTAGATTAATAATTGA